CCATTGCCCCGGCAGCACCCCCAGCGTTCCCAGCTCTGGCCCCACTGCCCTGCCAGCACCCCCAGTGTCCCCAGCCCCTCTGCCCTGCCAACACCCAGCATGCCCCAGTGTCCCAACCACTGCCCCACCAGCACCCCCAGTGCCCAGCATGCCCCAGAGCTCAGCCTTGGCCCCACTGCTCTACCAGTACCCCCAGTGTCCCACCAGTACCCCCCAAAGCCCAGTATGCCCCAGCGCTGCTCTCCTCCAGTGCAGCCCAACATCAGATGCCCCTCAGCCGCTCTGACCCTGCAGCAGCGCGCCGTTTCACCCGTTCGCCCAGCCCCTCTGCACGCCCCGTGTCCCCTGACGGGCGCCCGTGCTCTCTCGTGCAGAGTACTGCAGCGCGCTCTGCTCCCCCAGCCCCAGCCGCTCCCGCTACCTGCTGAGCCTGGGCCAGGAGCTGCTGCCGGGCATCGGCATCATCTGGACAGGTGAGCGCCCACAGGGCTGGGGCAGGAGCACGGGGTGCTGGCCCCAGGCTGGTGTTCGGGAGCCAGCGGGGCCCCGGTGCGGACATGCCCCCAGCTGCTTCCTGCAGGCTCGCGTGGCCCCTGGGTGCCCTGAGCTGGCACTGGCTATGGGCAGAGCGGCCACGGGGGCCTGGCCCCTTCCAGCACCCTGTCTCTCTCAAACCCCATCCCCTTGTCTGTGTGCTCTTGAACATGCGTGTGCCCCTGGTGGTGTGGGTGTGTGCCATGCGTGTGCATCTACGTCTGCTTATGGTCGGTGTCTGCCTGCACCCGCCCTTGGGCACGTGTCCATGTTTATACACATCCCTGTGTGTGTCCTTGTGTGCCCACACATACATGTGCCTGTGCGAATGGTGTCTCTGTGGTTGGTGCCCATGCGTGCGTGTGCCCCATTCATGTGCCCCACATGTCCCTGTGCGTGTGCCCCACATGTGCTGTGTGCGTGTGCATGCCGGGCCGGGGCAGGCCCCAAGGTGGTGTCACGGGAGCTGTCGCCGGTACTCCTGGAGGAGGTGGAGGGCGTCCTGGGCCGCAGCCCCGTCATCTGGGACAACCTCTATGCCAACGACTACGACTGCCGCCGCGTCTTCCTGGGCCCCTTCACGGGCCGCCCCCCCGGGCTCATGTCCAGGCTTCGCG